TTCTTGAACTCATCATACAAGCTGCTGTATGGAAGTTGGTTTCTTTCTTGCTTGGTGTGTTACGAGCGGCCCGATTCGGAGGCCTTTGATCGCCTGCTTCAATGGCGATCTCGTCTAGAGACGTCTGGTGCCTTCACCTTTAGTTGCACGAATTTCGAAGTAGTCATGTAGTCGTGGGTTCAAGCCCCACGGTGGGCGTAATGTTGAGACTTGCGGTCTCGAGGCGGTGTGGAGGAGGCGAGAGGCCTCCGCCCGTGGCCATGACCCTCGGCGGAGGCTCGGGAAGCGTGACACGACAAGTGGGCGTGTAGGGAAATGACACGTAAAACTAGGGTTTCATTAATACATTCACCAACCTCTGTCTTTGTTACTAAGTGTTCCCTATTTATAGGGCTCAACTACCACTTTTACAGAGTTTACAATAGTACCCTTCAAACTAGGATTCGACGAAGGGCCTTTAGGCCTCCACCATCGGTCTCCGCCCCTGGGACGCCGAGGCCGCAGACCCCCGACGCCCAGTATTGCCGTCCTCCTGCTTGGGTCTCTGCCCCTACGAGCGGAGGCCGAAGCTGCACGTGCGCGCGCGCCGATCCGCGAGCGCCTTCCTCAGTTACTGCACACACACGTAGGTAACGTTGGCATGATTAGCTTTGCGGTGGCGGCCTCCGCCCCCTCCGCCCGACGCATCTCTGAGCTAGCAGGCGGAGGCTACGCCAGTCACGGCGGTGTCCTGCAAGCGATCGAGAAACCGTCATCTTTACGGAGTGCAGAGGCGCGGTGGTTGGGCCTTTCCGCAGGTAGTTGGTCGGAGGCGTCTCGTGAACTGCTAGCAGCGTAGGTCTCCGCCACTCTCGGGGCCAGTGTTACAACACTAGTGCCCCAGATCAGATGTCCGGACACTAGCAAGTCCGATAAAGAAATTGGGATGTGAACAACAGGTGGGAAAAAACAAATCGGAAACTCTATGGGCACTGACAGAACGCATGAATGGAACAGATGACGGACGAATAAGGCTCCCTTTGGATTCTACTAGGAATTTCCTGTGATTTCCTGAAAATCCTGTAGAGTTCCAGCGAAAAAGAAACTCTTGGCTCTTTAATACTAGATAGAGGGTAGAGACGATAAAGATAGAGAATAGAAATTTAGTATTCTACCTGACTATACAACAAGTTTTATGCTCCGATGCAACACATGGGTACATTGGCTAGTTTTTTTATAAAGTACCAGAAAACCTATTGTATAGGGTAGCAAAAGTGGTGTCAATCCTCTGCACATGGACTGATAGTGATGTTTATGTCACAAGCATTATTGTTCACTTGTTCAAAGCAAACAAACCCAAATTTTCATGTTCCTATCGCAGCTTTCCTACCACCCGTTTCCCCTTTCATCTCTCATATATCTACACCTGTGGTGCCAATCCATGACAAGATGGTGTGGAGCAGAGCAAGTAGCTAGCTAGGCCTCCCCTCGTCGATGCTTTCATTTCTTCCAAGTAGGCATGAAAGGCTGAGGCAATGAGTTCATCCTTGGAAGCCATGCTTGGGAAGCTGCATATGCTCTGATTGCCCTCCGGAGATTCAGCTGCCAAAATCACACCAGAGGTAGGAATCAAGCATCTAACACAAGATCTAGAAAAGTAAACAACTTCCTGGTGGATCTGTCACGTGTGGAAGGTCCCAGCATCATGCTCAAGCGCTCCATGAATGAGGTACGCGAGCTGTCCCTACGACAAAGGCCCTATTTTTAAGGGTGGCTCTAGATCCTGGCTGCCTCTAAAGATTAATTTGTAAAGTGGGCGTCGAGCAGTAAAAATATAATAAACGTCAAAATTTTCAAATGACCTCGAATGGATAAATGTCCAGAACAACATTTGTATATCTCAAAAAAAAAAGTTATCAGAGTAGAATCTAGGATATCGTGTCACTGGGGTCAAGGACTAAGCAACGGGGTCAAAGATGTGTTGATTTTCTATTTGAAGAACAATTTGCTGGTGGATGGAAGAATTTTTAAAGAGTTTTTAGCAAGTTAATGGGGTCAGCTGACCCCAATGGTTTATAGATACGCCGCTGAAAGTTATACAACTTTATAGTTTGACAACGTTTTAATTTGAAATCATCTGTCTAAGAAAATTACGTTTCAATTTTCGGCATTTGAAATTTGAATTTTATGGAATGACCACGGATGCAGAAACAACTAACACAAAAGTTTTAGATCTCAAAGAGTCATACAACTTTGTATTTTTTTGAATGACCACGCATGGAGAAACACCAAACACAAAAGTTTTAGATCTCAAAAAGTCATACAACTTTATAGTTGATAAATTTTTTATTTGAAATCATGTATCCTTGGAAAATACATTTGACATTTGATTTTTTCAAACAACCTTAGATGGAGAAATGATCGAAACGAAAGTTGTAGATTATGAAAAGTTATTTAACTTTGTAGTTGACAACTTTTTCATTTGAAATCATCTATCTAAGGACGTTCGGATTTCTCAAATCTAAAACTCAATTTTTTTAAAACCACCTTGGATGGAGAAACAACCAAAACGAAAGTTATAGGTATCGAAAAGTTATTCAACTTTTTTAGTTGAGAACATTTTATTTGAAATCATTTAGGGTCCTAAAGACTCATTTCAAAATCAGATGAGTATAGTACGAACTACGAAGAGAAATGAGTGAGAGGTTAGAGTATGGGGTGGAGCAGTTAAGAGGAGTTGGCGCGAGTGAACAGTTGCGGCTAGAAATTGTTGATTTCTAGAGACAGATGGAGGAGCCGCCTCTACAAACTCTCACTGACCTAGTGCAAGTTCCGTGCTTAGTGCTGGTAGCATCTAATAAATGAAGAAAATGCCACGTGAGGGCGTCTTTGTTTTGTTGATGTGAACCCCAATTTTGGACCATTCATCCTTGTCATGCTCATGGCGCAAGGTAGTATTTAGATTATAAAAAAAATTTCAATACGTAAATAGTGGCAACTTTCGTCCCTTATTTGGTAAATATTGTCCAATCGTGGACCAAGCTAAGCTCAAAAGATTTATCTCGTGATTTCCAACTAAAGCGTGCAATTAGTTATTTTTTTTACCTACATTTAATCTTTCCATACAAATGGTAAAAATTGATGTGATAGAGAGAGTGAAAAAATTGGAATTTGGAGGTGATCTAAACAAAAGGCAAGTTGCCGTCCTGTTGCTGGGGGACCAATCATCAGTGCGCTGTTTGGTAGTGTAGCTAGCTTATGCTATAAGCTGCAGCCACTGTGGGCGGCTTGTAGCATAAGCAAACATGGGAAATATTTGGTGATGTGACCTGCATAGTAGAATAGAAGCACCGTCGATTATCTCTAGTCTCTACAAAGAAAGCATCGTGAAAGACTGAAAGGGACAAAATGTCACCCATCCACAGAAATAAAAAGTCTCTGCAGACCACACAAACCTGTAGCTGCCCTTTAGCTCGAGCCTCGACTGGCCACTTCTTTCTCGGCGGCGATACCCCTCCTAGTGCTAGCTGGGCATCGATCTAAGCATGTCGGTTTCTGTAACCAGGTGTCCGGCCTTCTTTTTCTCCGGTTTTGTGGGTCAGCAGGGGCCTTTGTTTTCTTTTTGATCTTTGTATATCACTAGGTAGC